ATTATATTATATTATATTATATTATATTATATTATATTATATTATATATTAGTCCAAACTGGCTTCACTGTGCTGAGGGACAAACTGAAACTGCAGTCTGTGTTTACCATGTCCTCATGACTGGTACACACCCATCTGGCTTCCCCTGTCATTCAGGATTCTAGTAAAAGAGTTTCCATTGTCTTTTAGCTGGATCTTACACAGGTATATACAACCTATGAGTATGTATGCATCCCAGGACAGCACAACACGTATGTAGGTTACACGGTCATGTTACAATGTCAGTGTATGAATGCTCCTGCCTGGAACACACAGCCTTCTTGGTTGCTATTGGAGAGAATTTACTGCGTACCCATATACCAGATGTTTAAATACTTCAGAACAATACAGCTAGTTCAAGGTCATTGGGGTTACAGAGTAGGACCCTGTCTCACAACAACAAAACTCTAAATACTCCAAGCCTGACATATGTGTTGTTCTACTTACAGCCCTTTGATGAATGGCATGGCCCTGTCTAACTCTAAGGGGGTTAGGAACTATGAGGAAGCACATAGATGTCCTGTGAGTGCAAGTACCTCTGCCCTAGTGGCGTGGGAGCAGATGCCTTCCTGAAGCCAGCTGCTCAGCCCCTGATGTAACTGGTCTTTTTAGAGTAGCCAAAATGAGTTCTCAGTTGTTAGTTCCTTCTTTGGCTCAGATTAAGGTAGCACTGGTCATTTCATTAATTGGCCCAGATTCCCCTGAAGTATCAAGGGGTTAGCCTATCTCATATTGTATTGGCCATTACACATAGTTCCTGAGTGATCTGAGCCCTTATGAGCACTTGTTGGTATTTTTTAGGTGGGTGTGATGGAAGAGAAGATAAAACTGTCCAATCTGAAGAGCGTGGACTCCACAGGTAGCTTGCATCAAAAGTACCAAGAATTGCTGAAAGCCGTGCAAGGCAAAGACGAGCTCATCAGCCAGCTGCAGGCACAGCTGGAGAAGCAGGTAGGGGCTAATGTGAGGCAGCGCCTTCATTGCCTCTCACATCTGCATCAGTGGGCCTCGCTGTCTCTAGGACCTGAGCTTGAGCCCTGGAGTGACTGGGAACTCATTCTTTCATGTGACTTCTTTTACCTGGCAATCATTAGCACCTTCTTCATCTGTTCCTTAGAAGCTAGGGAAATAGAGAGGAAGTAGACCCCTGGGGAACGTCACCTCAGCTGCTTGTTGCTCTCTAGGGAAATTGCCTGAGTCACTCACACCTTTATACAATGGAGGTTATGAAACCTCTGAGGTTTGGGGAATAATTACCTCTAGGTATCTGTGTACGATATCAGACATGTGGTTGGGACTTGGTAAGGAGATCTTTTCTGGCTCTGTGGTGGACTTGTGCCAGGCCATCATGAGCTACTTGATACTCAGCTGTAGTGTGACTGAAATGGGATAGGACTGGATTGTCTGCAGCTGGTTGGTCAGTTTCTCAATGAACCCGAACAGGCAGAGAACAGAGTTCCCACTGAAAACGGAGACTTCCCATGAGTACATGGGAGCCTAACACACCACTGTCCAGTATGGAAGCAAGTTAACATTCTTGCTTCCAGAAGCCCTCTGGCCCTTCTTTCTGCTACTTCCTGTGCCCAGACTTCTCCCTTCAAGGTTTTATAAGCACCATCATGTAGCCCAGTCTGGCTCTGAGCTCCTTATCTTCCTTCCTCTACCTTCCAATTTCTGGGATTATGGACATGTCGCAGTTCCATCTCCTTTGTCATTGGCCTCATCTACTCAGCTTTCCCTGGTGCCATCTTGCCATCCATTCCCCACAACAAGCCCAAGGATAGAGTTGAGAGACTGACTTATCTGCATGTGTATTTGCTGTAAAGGTTCCAGTGGATTTAAGCAGTCCCTTCGAGTCATTGTGGGTGAATGGAAATTGTCAATACCCACTGAACACTCCCTTACTGGATGTTGCTTGTATGCACTGATTTTAGAAATGTTTTTTCCTTTGAGTGGCTCAGAGTCGGAAGAAGTAGCAGCATTCTGATGGTTGGTGGGGTAGAATGACTTGCTCCCAGGTTAGGATTATAATCAGTAGGGAAAGATCAGCCTGTACTGAGCGGATGTTAGAGAACAGAAGTCCTCTAGCTTTTTGTATAGAGCCAAAGAACGCAAGCCATATCGTCAGTGTTGCAACTGCCCAGTTCTGCTGTTAGAGTGTGAAATAAAAAGTGATGATCTGTACATGAGTGGGCATGGCTGTGTTCCAATAAATCTTTATCTATAAAAAATATGTAGGAGACAAACAGGTGGAAGACTTGCGCTTGGCCTCAGGGCTACTGTTTACCAGCCTTGAACTAGGTGGCCTTTAAGGTCCTTCCAGGTCTGAATTACTGATCTGAGGTCTTCATTCCCAGATCCTTTCCACAGCCTTCTGGTTTGGAGCTTGTGTCTGACATCTGAGAATTGTCAGGCAGTCTCCCCTAGTTTAACAAGAGTCATTTCTGCTCAGTTCTGAACAACTCAGGGGCCAACACTTGCTTCATGTTGTTTAGGTCCAGAAGTAGTTCTCATCATAAGCTAGCTGATACCTGTGCTATAAGCACTGAACTCTGTACTCTTATTTCAACTCAGAATGACCCAACAAGAGAGGGATAGCTTATCTTTCATTTTAGAGGTGGAGTAGACTCAAGCCCAGAGAGATAGGTTCAGTGCCTGGTATTTTATAGCAGGAAAGTTTCATGTAGTCAAACCTCTCATTTCATTTCATTCTAGGCTTGTGTTTAAGCTCTCCCCCAGCACTGACACTCAGACTCACACTCTCAAGCATGGTGGTCCTGGTGCATGACTGGTCTCCCACTCGGCTCAGTTTTCACTATAATGTGGTGGCTGTCCCAGAGCCTCAAACCCAGAAATCAAACCCAGTTGAGCCTGGCCTCAAACCCAGAAATCTGATGGCCTGCCTTCCTAGTGCTGGAACAAAAGGCCTGGCTAGATGAACACCTTTTCAATCATTGATTATTTTGAGAAATACTGCTTCTATGCTCATTTAGCTCTTAAAAAAAAAAAAAAGTAGGGATAATGTATGCTATAGTAAAAAACAAAACAACAACAAAAAAAAACCAAAACACACAAAAACCCCCACAACATCCAGAAGGGTCTAAATGCTAAGTGGCATTAACCTCTCTCCCCAGCGTCCCTTCCCACTCTCTCTGGTCTCTGTGTATCAGACTCTCATTTTGTGGTTGTGCCATGTTTACTTAAGTAACTCTTGTCAGTGGGCACTCAGGGTAGCTCAGGTTTTGGATTCCTATGTTGTGTTGCTTTCTCAAATAGTATTTCAATGAGTGTTTCCTATGTAGTGGCTCTGTTAGGCCAAGGGTATGCATGTGTGAAGTGATGTTGTCTAACCTTGCATGTTTGTGCTAGCGTTGCTCCCAGTACTCTTGACATTTGGGGGTAATATCAAATTAGTCTGATCGAGGGAGATGATGTCCTCTGTATCTGCATGCTTAAAACCATGATTGTGTTTTCACAACCTTTCATGGGTTCTTTCTTCGTTGACTTTCTGTTCATATCCTTCGCATGTTTATTTGACTGTTCATGATAAATACCCCTTTGTGTGTTGTTTTTGTTATAAATCATCCTTAACCAGTCTTTTGTTTCATTTTGAAAACAGGTCTCTATATTTGCCCAGGCTGGTCTTGAACCTGTGCTTAACTGCTCTTCCCACTTCAGCCTTGTGTACAGGGGAGGGCACACTGCCTACCACCATGGCCGCCTTCCACTGGTGTTTCAGTTTCTTCAGCTGCTTCCCTTTTGCCACACAGTAACTTATTGTGATGATACATGTATTTATTATTAGTTTTTTTTTTCTTCCATGGGTTTTTAGAATTTGTATTATGCTTAGGAAAAAGTCCTTCCCATTTTAACTTTTACTTGTTTTAATCAGGATTTTGTTGTATAGTCCAGTCTAATCTTGGGATCCACCTGCCTCAGCCCCTAAGTACTGAGAATATATGTGTCTGGGTGTCATGCCCAAAAAGAATATGTTTTTAAAAAGTGTAATGGAATTAATTTTCTTTGCTGCGGCACCACGTCCCATCACTGGGTTTCTCTTCTTGCTATAATTAACCAAAGGCTGTCTCTTTGCAGAAGCAGACAAGAGCTGAAGAAGCCAAAATTGTTCAAGAAAAAGCTGCAAAGATCAAGGAATGGGTGACAGTAAAGTTAGCAGAGGTGAGTTAAAACCTCAGCCTGAGGGTCCTGCTGGGCCCAGCCTCTGCCTGACCTTCATTCTGTGAACCAGGGTCCTGCAGGGCTGAGGTTCAGACACACCCAGTTCCATTTTCCCCTTCTCTACTTTGTCTTTCTAATCATTTCCCTTTTCCTTTGGTCTGGGTCAGCCTTCCAGATGCCTCCTTCTAACCTGCTCCTGGATTTGAGGTTGGGAAAAGGGATTAGAAACAGGAAGTTTCCAGAATCCTCTCAGCTTCTTTTCATTGAGCACACTCACGATGCCGTTTATCCTTTCTCCTTTCTCTTTTTAAAAAATATTGTAGAGCGTGGGCTGGAGAGACGGCTCAGTGGTTAAGAGAGGGCACTGCTCTTGCGGAGGGCCTGAGTTCGGTTCCCAATACCTGAGTTGAGTAGCTCACAACTGCTGTGCCACCAACTCCAGGGGCTCCAACTCCCTGGCTTCTACAAACACAGAGACACACAGAGACACAGACACACAGAGAGACAGACACACACACACACAAACTAAAAATAAACCTTTTTTTTTTTTAAGAATTGTGGTCAGTCTTGATGTTGTGACACACAATGCCAGCACTTGGGAGGCAGAAATCTGTGAGTTTGAGGCCAGCCTGGGCTATACAGTGAAACTCTGACTCAAAAACCTTGTGATAAAGTATACATAAACTTTACCATTTTAACTGTTCATTAATATCCACTGCAGAGGTGCTAAGCACACACACACACAGTACAGCATATTGTGTGTCCCTCATCACCTGTTTCCAAAACTTCTTCTCACCCCAGACAAGCTGCTCGCACCGAGCTCCTCTGGCTGTCTGCTCTCACAGCCCCTTTTCCTCTCGCCGTGGGTTTTGTAGTTCATCACTGGCTACAGCTGGGTTCAGGAAGCCGGGACTAGACACTACAGCATCACCAGCAAACAAACAGTCCCACTGGACTGTGAGTTCTTGGGGACAGAATAAATGCCCCCAACCCCACTGTCTGGCCCTTGATGCAAAGTGTTCGAGAAAAGTGTGTTGGGCTTAGTTTAATAGACAACTGCTGTCTGTTAAACTAAGCAGCTTCAGAATCCTTTCAGCAACCCACTCAAGCGAGAGATGGCTTTCTGTGTATGTGGTGTATTTCACAATTTTAAAAAGAAGAAAGAAAGAAAATGAACAGTTCTAGGACAACAGCACAGGCTACACAGACTCGTCTACAAAAACAAAAACACAGATCCAAGTCATGGTGTGTATGCGCACACACACACACACACACACACACACACACACAGAGAGAGAGAGAGAGAGAGAGAGAGAGAGAGAGAGAGAGAGAGAGAGCATGAGAGCAAGAATGTGTGTGTACAGGGCCTGTGAAATGATACCACATAGTATTTTTCAAAGATGTGTACTTTTGGTCCTTTTTGGATTATGCAAATGAACAAGCAGGGGCTGGGCATTCTGTTTCCTTACTGCTAGGTATTAAACCCAGGCCTCCAGCTCTGGGCAAGTGCTCTGCTGAGTGACACAGCCCTCTCAACTTTCATTTTCTTTTTGCCCAGCTTGAAATGGAGAATCAACACCTGAAGACGTGTAATCAGCAGCTAGTGGAGCAGGTGGCAGCCCTTCAGGATGCTCTTGAGGGTAAGAAGGCAAGGTGTTTGTATGCACACCAAGACGTGCAAGACAGAATGAAAGACTTCTCAATGGATGTGCCTGGCTTTGCCTCACCCACAGATCTTCGTATGACACCTTCAGAGGAGCGGCTAGTCGCTCCTGAGGGAACCCCAGCGGAAGATCCTGTCTCTTCAGGGCCAGGGACCCAGCCTGTGGAGCAAGACAGTAATCCCCACACCCAAATTTTGAAGGAGGCAGTGCCTACACCTTCTCTGGGTACCCTGCAGAGCAAGGACTTTCTGTCAGAAGCCAGAAGTCTCGAGGATTTAAGTTTCACCATGGTCCATCCTGGGGAAATAGCAGAGGCCAAGACCCTTAAATCTCATCTTCAGAGAGAAGACTCTCCCAGTCAGCAGTTCATGAAGCCCGGCAGCCCCAAACATGGGTCAGCCTCTTGCAGGGAGGGTCTGGTCACTGCTCAGGGAGGGACATTCCCTGGGACCAAGATCTCTGCCAGGGAAGGTGGTCCTGGGAGTAGCCTGACACTGCCAAAGGTGCGGGCTCCCAGCATTCCCCGGGACAGCTTCCAGGTGGCCAAAAGGCACCATAGTCAGCCCCAGGTGGGCCCTGGTCATTTTGACCATGTGGTAAACATTGAGATTGGGGCCCTGTCAGCCCTCCACTCATCTGGCTTCTCCAAGGCTGAAGCCAGAGCTAAAGTCCGGGAAGAAGCAGAGAAGATGGAGATGGAGGAGCTTCCTCCAGCAGGGAAGCAGGAAGAAAGAAAGAGCCTAAAGTCCTGCAGAAGTGAACTGGAGGAAGTGGAACTGGAGAACAAGCCCCCTACACCCCCACTGCACCGGTTTCCATCCTGGGTAAGTGACCTCTTCAGGGTTGGGCAGGGGGCAGAGCCAACCATAAGCACTGAGAATATCCAGGGCTGAGCATGAGATAAGGCTCACAGCAATTGTGGTGTGGCTGGCAGGCAGGCCTGCCTGACCCACTCACCTAGGCAGAGCAGAGCCAGAATCTGAAATGATACGTGACCATGCCAAACCGGGTGTTTCGTGCATCTTCTTTCACTTTGATTCTGAGGTGACAGCTGTGGAAGGGAAGAGCTGTGCCCAAGATCAAGCCACTGTTCAGTTTCTACCTATGAACCTGGGCAAGTTACTACGGCTGTGGATCAAGTTTTCTATCTCCAAAATGGGGGTGCTAGTGACTAGTAATAGGAGTTGTTAATTTATTTACACTTAATTTGGAGGAGGGGTCTCATGTGCCACGGTTCCCATGTAAAGGTCAGAGGACAGCTAACGAGTCAGTTTTCTCCTTTCACTGTGTGGATTCTGGGAATCAAATTCAAATTCTCAGGCTTGGTGGCAAGTGCCTTTACCCACTGAGCTATCTGGCTGTTCCTACTAATAGAGTTTCTAGGAGGATTAAATGTGTATTGAGGGGCTGGGGTGATGGTTTAGCTCTTCCTAAAGACCCAGGTTTGAGTCCCTGCACCCCCATGGTCCTAGATCACAACTGTCTGCAACTACGGTTTCAGGAGCTCAAATGACCTCTTCTGGTCTCCTGAGGCACCAAGTGCACACGTGGTGCTCACACAGACATGCAGACAAACCTCCCTGCATATTAAATAGTTAATTGCAGCGTGTATTGAACAAGGGCCTGTAAGTGGTGAGTGGTATGTCATTGCTAGTTTTGTCCCTGAGCCTTAGCTTCCTTATAGGTAACATTCTATACCATGACATGGTGTCTAGGGTGGAGATGGGGTCCAGATGAAACGGAGCTGAACACACACTGATACAGGGTGAAGGCAGATGATGGGGACAGGGTCTTTCTACTGCTCTGCTTCTCTGTCTGACATCTGTGATAAAGGTTAAAAACAGGGAGGGTCGGGTATTCCTGGCTTACAGATTGCTGATGGGATAACACAAAGGCCTGGCGCAGAGCCTGACATTCAAAAATGTCCTCATCTTCATGAGGGATTAGGTGCTATTCCTCCCTCTGGTAGGTAGGAAACTGATGTCTACAGTGCAGCCACTTCCCAGGCCATGCTGTTAATGAAGGAATGAGGCTTTCAGTAGAGGCGAGGCTGCCTTGAAGCACAGCCCCAGCACTCTACCTGCTCGGCTCCCCGGGACATGGCCTCAGAGGTCAGACTTAATCGAGCCCAGTGCGACAGGTGTGTATGAGTGTTGAGCAAGGTTGGAAATCATGACAGTGGGTGACGAAGAGTAGTGTCCCTGGTGGCTAGCCCGGCTTTAAGCGGTGGCTGCCGGCTCCTGCTGTTCATTGCTGTCTTATTCTACAGCCCTGAAGCTATGATGGGGGCAAGGGGACAATTAGGGTGCTGAGAGAGGAGTTTGTTCAGTAGGTGTTACCTGAAAGAACTGTTGTTCACATCACCATTTTCCCAGAAAGTAGCTACTCACTGTGGTGGTTGAGAGTGGTTCGTACATTTTGCACAGACATGTTAAGGTGTATACGTGTATGTATGAGAGAGAGAAAGGGCGGGGGGAAAAGAGGACAAATAAACAAGAAGCTTTAGCCAGGTGACCTGGGACCCTGAAGTCCCAGCACTCAAGGGTGAGAGAAGGAGTCTAGACCAGTCTCAAGGGTGAAAGTGGACCCAGGAGTCTAGTCCAGTCTGGCACCATAATGAGATCTCTCAAAAAGCAGACAGCAGAAGTCCAAGTGCAGCCCCTTTCAGCTGCCCTGGGGTGAAGGTGTTAGGGCTCAGTGTCAGGTCTTTCCACTGAACCCCCACTTCCATCTGGCACCCAGGAACCCCAGTTTCCAGCAGCACAGTATAGGGAGAGGTTGTCTCCAGTTTTCAGTCCCTTTGTAACTTGCTTCTGAGGGAAAGAAGACATACTGCCAGCTCACCCATGGTCCCTAGAGAAGCTTAGGTGTCCCCCTCAGGGCAGTGACCACCAGCAAAGTCTGGAATTCAGAGAAGGACATCCTTAGTCCAAGTACTTGGTGGTGCAGAATACCTTCCTTTCCAGGTTGTAAGCTCTTTTTCACTTAATCCTCTAATAACTGTGTGAAGGAAACCCTCAGTGGCCTTTGTCCAACAGAGCTATCTTTTGTTTGACCTTCCCCCAGCCTTGAGTTTCGTTTCCTTTATGAAGTGGTGCAAGTCCCTGCATGATCACCATGGGCAGAGAGCTACACCAGCTAGTCCTCACAGTTGATGTAACTGCCCTGCTTGAATGTCTCTGCCATCCTCCACCGGTTTTGCCACCGCTTCTGTTACCTCAGCATATCATTCTACATCACCCTCATCTGCCCCCCTCTTGAGCCACACCCCAGTATTCACTCCAGTCTCTTTCTTAGTTGCTTCTCTGGTCCAGCATGTCGGACTTTCCTGGTCAGCCCTATGACTCATCAGTCACCTGAGAGGGATTTTGCATTCCCTGTCAGAGTAGTGGAGCAAACAGCTCTGGAGCAGCCTGGGAAGGGCCTTCTAGGCTGTTGGAGCAAACTCTCTTGCTCTAGAGTCGGCTTCAGCCTCAGGGGCATGCATAGTCTAGCATGTAGTTAGTGCCAGAATTTTCTGCAGCAATGCTTTACTATAGGGATCTGGAGCCTCGTTGGGCTACAGTAGCTTTGCTGGGCCTCAGAAGCCTAACATATGCACACAGCTACTGTAGGAAGCTAATGTACTCCATCCCCCATACAGCTGATGACAAAAGTGTATCTGTCGCCCTGTGGCTCTCCCTTCCTGTCAACACTCTTAACCTCTGGGGTTGACACCCAGGGACCCAGGGGTCTCTAAAACAGGCCAGGATCCAAGAAATGGAGAGACAGGTTATTGATCAGCTCTCTTTGAACCTTCCTTGTCTCAAGGGAAAGGGTGGAGGCCCGAGGGAGTGAATATCTGTTGGGCATGGATTATGTTTATATTATACATTTATTTGTAGTTGTACATTATAGTATACATTACTTAATTTGATTCCATTAGCAGACTCTTAAAAAGTATTTTAGACCTAAGAAATTAAGGTTTAGAAATGAAGACATTTGTTTAAAATCCCTTAGGCAGTAGCCAGCTCTTCCTGAGTGGTGAACTCAGTTCTGCCTGTCCCTGTCATGTGTTCCCTCCACTTTCTTGGAAGGGCGGAGGTGAGCATAGTCCTGACCGTCTGGGACTTTTCTTTCAGGAAAGCAGGATCTATGCGATGGCCACATCTGGCATGCAGCTGTCAGATGTGTCGTCCCGACGAAGTAATGCTGCCTGCTGCGGTGAGTACAAGTGGGGTATGAAGGACCTACAAATCTTTTGCCCAGCTGCCTCCCTGAGCTTCTGGCTGAGTTGTGCCTCCTGAGTTCATCACCTCCCTCTTTCTCCCCTCAGCTTTGGGGCCGCCTGCCCTTGCATTCCCTGGAGCTTTCTCTGGCCTTGTCTACAAGAATGTCACTGTGCCTGTCTACACAGCACTGAAGGGGGTAAGCAACTGCCAGGAATAGAGGGGCTGTCTCCACCAGGAGGAGCCCCTAGTCCCAGGGCAGTGTTCTCATTAGCCAGAGGGTCAGGCACCTTCATATGGTGATCATGTCAGAGAGCTCTGCCTACCTTGCGCAGTTGTTTTCTTTTGGGGAGAAAGCCAGTTTATTCAGTTCACTGTGGGGGGGACCAAGTCAGGCAGGAACAAGAGCACTGCCCACCCATCCTTTTGTCATACTTGATAGTTTATTATAAAGATTCATCATGTAACTGCAATGTGATATTTGTATCTTTTTGCCACTCGCTTTTGTTTGCTTTTGCAGTGTCTGAGTTAGAACATAGGGCCTCTCTTGCTGGACCACTGTCCACACTGACCACTGAGCCACACTCCCAGCTCTTGTTATTCCTTCTTAAATCATATTAGTAATATTAGCAATGCTTGAAAAAGCTTTTTCTTAGAAGAATAAAAACACAAACGTTTCCCTCACATTGCTTTCCTCAGTTCCTAACCTCAAAGCCAACACTCGTCAACACGCGATGTTTACTCTGCAAGGCCTTCTGATGCAATTGCAGATGACCTGCAGATATGCATGTGTGACCTGTGCATATCTCTCCTTCCTTCCTTCCTTCCTTCCTTCCCTGTCTCTCCGGATTCCACTCTCCTCCTGTCATACATGTAGGCAGACACGCACGCACGCATGCACGCACAGGGATGCTGTGCACATTTACGCCTCGGTTACTCACCTAACCGAGTCAGCTGTGTGTATCTCTAGAGTAGACAACACTCTACCTTAGGTCTCCCTCCACTGGTTTACAGTAGATTGTATCCCTCTGTCTTTAAAATATAAATGTTGCAGTGAGCACCACCGTGCACTTCCGTGTTTCTATCAGAAGACAATTCTAGCTAGAGATAGAAATGCTTTAGATTCCGATAGGTTCTGCCAAATTACTTTCTAAACGTGTTCTGTGGGCTGGAGATGTAGCTCTGCGGTAGTGCACTTGCCAAGAAAGAGTGAGGTTCTGTGTTCTATCTTCAGGGCTACCCCCAACCCCTACCCCCACCCCCCCAAAAAAGGAGAAAAGGGAACGAAGATGAAGCAGGCAAGCACCTTCAAGTGCTTTGTCACAATAGGGCATTTTGTTTGTTTGGGCTTTTGTTAGTTGTTTTGAGGCAGTCTCTCTATGTATCCTCAGCTGGCCTCACCATATAGAGCAGGTTAGCCCAAACTCCTCAGAGATCTGCCTGCCTCTGCCTCCTGGGTGCTGGAATTAAAGCCATGTGCCACCATGAGTGAGTGTGCCACCATGATCAGCACTAGAGTATCTTTTGGCTGTGCTCCTGCTGCATTCTTACCACACTGTCTCAGTGTCCTGACCTACACTTGACTTGTGGTATGGCTTTCTAGCCCCCTAGTGGAAGAAACAGCAGCTTTCTGGGGAACCACAGAAGTTGGGGTAGGGGAGTGGGGGACCCAAAGAGCAGCATGGAGATAAGACCACAGGAGTGAGGTCAGAAAGGGACTTTACACTATTGGGGCTACCGTCTGGTCAGCAGTTCCTCAGCTGGGTGGTGGCCTCCTGTTTCCCCAGACAGACTGTGTAGGCATACCAAACTAGACACAGCTGTTGTGTGGAAGCGGCCTTGTTTCGAAGCTGTAGCGGGCAGGCTCCTGTCTTGCAGAAAGCCACACAGATCAGCACTGTGCCTTTTGTGGATGAGTCTTCTGGGTCTGACGACGACTGCGGCTCTCAGGCGAGTTTCCGGATGTCAGTGCCCTGCTCTGAGTATAGGAAGACCAGTGGACTAGGCAGCCCCCGGGCCATCAAGAGAGGTACAGAGAGAGAGAGGGGACTCTCAGTCTTTTCCTGCTTGATCTCTGCCTGGGGTCCCTACCAGTTTTACCCTTAGCTGCAGACTCAGGGGATCCCCGTGGGTAATGAGAGCCTTGCATCTCTGGCCGTGGGTGTTGGAAGGGATGTGGGACCCCAGCCTTGATTCCCGATTCCCTCTCCTCTGGCCAGGGGTCTCCATGTCCTCGCTGAGCTCCGAGGGTGACTATGCCATCCCCCCTGATGCCTGCTCTCTGGACAGTGACTACTCAGAGCCCGAGCACAAACTCCAGCGTACGTCATCGTACTCCACCGATGGGGTGAGCAGAGTCCACGTGTGAACGGGGAAGGGCGCCAGGGCGGAGTGAACCTGAACAGAGGCTGCCTGGGCCTCCGCACCCATGCAGGCAGCAGAGAGGGAGGACGAACCTGGAGAAGGTAGAGAGGAGGCTCTAGTGGGGTTACAGAGACAGCTGTGCACAGACCCCAAGATGAAGGAGACAGAGTTCAAGTCCAGGAACTTCTCAGACCCCAGGAGCCTCATGTGACTCTCCCTTTTGTCCCCTCTTCTCTTCTTGCTTTCCACTTCAGGAGTCACTGGAAAAGTCAGGCTACCTGCTGAAAATGGGGAGCCGGGTGAAGACATGGAAGAGGCGCTGGTTTGTCCTGAGACAGGGACAGATTCTATACTACAAGTCTCCGGTGAGACCTTCCTTAGGACCATAATCACATAACCAGATAACCACAGCCCCAACCCAGAACTGTATAAGGACTGAAGGAAAGGCAGTGTGGCTCAAGGCCTGGCAGGTAGAAGGCTCAACAGCCTGACCGGCCTTTGGAGGTCCTCAGCCACACAGGAGACTCTGAGGTAGTCACCTGTTCTCAAAGTAAGCTGGAGGGACTATCAAAGCAGCCCTGGGCCAGTTGGTTAGGAATTTCCTCTTTCTTCAGAATTGATTTCCTCCCATGCCTGGCCTTGGAAACGGTTGTTCCCAGGCTGCCCTTACCTTTGTTGGATGTTCAAACAGAAAAATTCATTGCTTCTTCTTCCGGTCTGGACTTGAGGAGCCTTGATTGTTGAGAACTAGGTTGGCAGAACCAATCAGGTTTTTAAAAAGAGGACAAAAGGATTTGTCTCTTATGAAATTGATTGCTTAGTAGGTGTTTCTAGCTCCATGTGATGGATTCTGAACCCGTATACCTCAGTGAGAAACATGCCACTAACAATAAGTAATGTCTGTAAGAACACTGCAAAGGATAATAGTGAGTTATGTGTCCTTTGACTAAGCCTCCTGCCATGGCCTACTAAGTAGCTGGGACTGTAGGCACGTCACCATACATAGCTTGGTCAAAGGACTAGGAGGGCTTTATAGATAGGTTTCTGATCCCATTTAAAGTCTTACTCTCCTTTTTGAGATCTTTTGAGGCCTGGGTTAGAGGGTTTCATGTTCCTAATTATGGTTTTATTTTGCTAGAGTAAAAATATAGAACAAGTCACTCATTGTACTACAGCCAGGAAAGCTTGGGAATCACTGTTTCCTTTGAGCCTGTGACCTGGAGTAAGAAGCCTCCAACTCCAGTGTGCCCTCTTCACTCCTTCTTTTACAGAGTGACGTCATCCGGAAACCTCAAGGTCAAGTAGATCTGAACTCTCACTGCCAAATTGTTCGAGGGGAAGAAGCACAGACATTTCAGGTGCGCCTGCTTATAGCAGCTGCATTTTAGATAGACTGTGGTGTTGGGTTTAGATATGGCTGTGACTGAAGCAAAAATGAGGCAAACATAAACATGAATGGATGATATCATACCAGGAGAAGGATGAGAAAGAAGAGACAGAATGAGAGATGAAGGGAAGGGAAGAAAGACAGGGAGGACAGGAGGGGGGAGAACGGGCGGCCAATGGGAAGGCCGGCAAGTTGAAGGATCTGTGTAGTCAGACTGTCACTAATTCTAACCCTCACCCCACAACCACAGCTCATCTCTGGAAACAAAACCTACTACCTAACAGCAGAGTCCCCCAGCCTCCTGGAAGAATGGATCCGTGTCCTACAGAGCCTGCTTAAGGTGCAGGTCACTGGCCCTCCGGCCCTGCATCAAGGGGGCACTAAGCCTACTGTGAAGGGCTGGCTGACCAAGGTACAGTGGAGCTGGCAGGGAGGTAATAGGAGCCCGGCATGGGAGTGCCCAGATATGTTGGCTCTTTTCTCCAAGAACTACATCCCAGTGCTTAGTGGGTTGGCCCTCAAATATGGTCTGGGCATACAAAATGATGGTGGTGACAGTCAGAACAATTACTCTCAAGACAGAAGGAAAACAAATGTTCCTACTTAATGTTTAGGACATTAGTCGTTGCCTCTACAGTATAACTAGCTGTGTCAGGATGTATAAGGGGCATTAACTAGGCAGCATATTAGCAGGGCTGAACACTTAGGGACACTCACTGAGCTCAGCAAGCTAGGTGCTCAGACTGTCCTTCTGGGCCTCTGCTTCCCAGCAGTCTGTAGTTCTTGTATTGAGAGTGCAGTTGCTGCTCCCTGGTGATTTATGGCACATTACTTGGGGTTTCAGACTGCCAGCACCTTTTATTTACCCTGCAGCATCCTTACAACTCTTGCCTATGCCAACTAGCAGGTTCTTCCCCTATCCACACTCTGACTTCCTGGATAATCTTTCACTGGCAGGCCGCAGGTCCCTGAGTGGCCCAACAGTGGCTGGATTACATACTGTAGCAGTCTCACTGTGAGAGGAGACCTGATTTTGGCAACCTTCCTTGTGACCTGTCTTGGCTAGCCCTAGGATTTATTCTGGAGTCCTGGTTCTAATGAAGTCATTTACTTACAGGTCAAGCATGGCCACTCCAAGCTGGTCTGGTGTGCCCTTGTTGGGAAAACCTTCTACTACTACCGGAGCCACGAGGACAAGGTATTTCATGAGCTTCCTAACAATGCCACCTCCAAACCGCACAGCTGCACGCCACTGACAGCAGCCCCCAGCTTACCTCCAACATACTCAAAGTCAGCCGGCCAGCTCCCTCCTGAGCACTGAACCAGCATCATGGCCGGTGTAGTCAGTTGGTATTTCTGAAGCAGTCTTGTGTTTCTGGCCTGGCTGCAAAGCTGCTGCTTCTATCTCCTCACCCTGCTCTCTGTCCACACATACAATCTCCAGCCCCACACAGCCTAAGCATTCAGAAAAGGAGACTCTCCTCTCTACCTGTTGTCCTATTCATGGAAGGCTCGTGTCCACAGAGACCCCTGGGCTGCCTACCTGTGCAGGAGGCTCACATAGAGGAAGTAGATCGATCCTGTGACTCAGACGAAGACTATGAAGCTGGAGGAACTGGACGCTTGCTGTCCTCGCACTGCACGCTGGTGATCCACCCACCAGAGCACAGCCCCACCTACCTCCTCATAGGCACCAAGCATGAAAAGGTAAGGGAGGAGCTGGAATTTTGTGGCCAAGCCTTGACCTGTGTCCTGATTCCCCTTCTCTCCCCTGAGCTTTCCAAATTCAAGTTTATTTCCTCTTGGACACTGAATGGGACATATTCCAAATGGCCAGCAACTCTTCATCATGGGCCATGACAGAAATTGGGAATTTAGGTTTATAGCCACCTGATTCTGTCTTTCTCTTTGGAGTGGTGATCTTGACTCATGCCAGCCAAACTAATGAAAGCCTACCTCCCTCAACACAACCCCACACCCCAAGGCAGGGTCTCACGTAGCCCAGGCTGATCTTGAGCTCTCTGCCTCAGCCTCATACATCCTGGTATGACGTTATTACAGCTAGGCACCTCCATTCCCATCTTAAATTCTAAGCTGCCTTTTTGCGGGGGAGTGGTGAGAATCAAACCCAGAGCCTCATACATGTTAGACAAGTGTCTGTCACTGAGCTATATCCCCTGTCCAAACTCAGATCTTGCCTGCCCTCTTCCTACCACATTAGCACCTGATTCTTTTCTGTCCTTTCCCAGGATACATGGCTTTACCACCTCACAGTGGCTGCAGGGGGCAGCAGTGCCAAGGTGGGCACCGTCTATGAGCAGCTCATTGGGAAACTGATGGATGGTGAGGGCAACCCAGGTAAGGAAAGAGTGGCTGTCGCTGTGTGGGCTGCAGGGAAGTGGCAGGGTACTAATTGAACAAGAAGCTGAGAGCACGGTTAGGCATAAGCTACATTAAGCATGCCTGAGGGAAGTCCCATCCCATGCTCCAGTGTTTTGCCCTCTGTCTTTGGCCAAAACACTGAGGTAACCACTGTGTGTGTGAGGAAATCTGTCTGGGAAACAGACTTTCCAGAAACCTAGGTAAATGTTTTACTCTGTTTAATCTGTAGCTTTGCTAGCTATGCAGAAGACATGGGGATAGGGGGTCTGGGTGGAAGAGGCAGCTGGTTAATCTATAGTTAAGTTCGTTAATAAGTGAAGCTTCAATTTGGATCAGACTAACCTAAGCCTGGGATGTTGGGAGTTCTTATTTTGCTACTAATTCTCAGGGTCTTCATGGACCAACCTGAGGTACCTTTACCTCTGAGAGTTGGTGTGTTTCAGGCTGATATATCTGTTCCTCCATCCTGAAACTGGAAGGCAGGTGTGTCCCTGCATGCAGACCCTGTGCTCAGAAGCACTCACACCTTTGTTCACTTAACCCTTTGCAGCTCCTCAGCAAAGCTTTGGCTGCCTTCCTCCACACTGTGTGTGGGAATGTGCAACTTACAGTACACACTGACATGGCCTTCAGCCTGTAGATGATCAACCCAGCAAAACCATGTTTCCCATAGAGCTAAGCCTCAATCTTCCCGGCAAGTGGAAGCTGGGTCTGGTAGGCAGGAGGTGCATTCTCTGTAGTAAGTAATTGCACTGCTCTCCTGTCTGTGCTTTGTGCAGACTCCCCGCTCTGGAGGCACCCCATGCTGTGCTACAGCCAAGAAGGGCTATGTGCCTCCCTTACCACCCTGCCCTCTGAGGCTCTGCAGACGGAGGCCCTCAAGCTCTTCAAGGTAATGTGGGAGTGGAGCCCCAGCCTGTTGGGTATTGGTGCCCAAGCCTGCACAGCTTGACCCATCCCAGCACAGAAGAGCTATGTGGTTACAGAGTGGCCCAAGGGTTGTCAGAGGAAGAGAAAGTCCCACAGGGTTCCCTTTATGGCAGAATATAACCTTTCTGCAACCCAGGAAGAAGCTCTGGGGAGCTAGGAAATGCCAGCAAAGGCTCTCCCTTGAAGAGTTGCCATTGACCTCAAGTAACAATAGAAAAGGCCCGCTTTGAGAAAAAAAAAAAAGTAGTAATTGCACTACTTTTGGACATCAGAGATTCTGACCTAGTTTACAGTCTTTGTGCCCATTTACATTTTCTGGCCTAAAAAAAAAAAAGAATTTGCTAAGGGGCTAGTATGGTGATAAATGCTCACAATCCGGCACAGGAGGCAGAGGCAGGACTTGGAGTTAAATGCCAGCCTGAGCTACACTGTGCTACCCTGTCTTGAAAAAGTGTTTTCCGCTTGGTATAGGCAAGCTTATATAGTAGAAACATGTAAAGAAGGCATAATTCTGCCCCTCAAGTAGCCCCTTTGAGCCTCACATGCAGAAACAGTTGCTCCCTCTAGAGAAGGCATTCTTGAGGCTCTGCAGTACCAGTGCATGTCACAAGAATAACCAAGTAGCTGTCCCTGCCTGTACCCACTGCCATCCTCCTTCTAGTCCTGTCAGCTCTTCATCAATGTGCCAGTGGAAGCCGCCTCAGTGGACTACCATGTGTCCCTGGCTCAGACAGCACTGCAGGTCTGCCTCGTTCACCCTGAGCTACAGAGTGAGATCTACTGCCAGCTCATGAAGCAGACCAGTTGCCGCCCACCTCAGAAGTACTCTCTTATGCAGGTGAGCATGCGCTGGGACATAACAACTGGCTGGAATCATTTGTTAGAGGGTAGAGATGGTGGTAGCAGGTGCCTGGGCAGGTGTTCTCCAGTTCTAGGCAGTGGCAGCCTCTGTGCTCCAAGTTGCTTGAGCATGGTTGCCTGATGTGTGCATGCTCACAGCGTGACTACCATTCTGGGCAACGCCTGACCAAGGCAGCGATCCCACTACCTGGCAAGGGGGTTGAGGGTCTGGTTGGGGGTGGGGAACAGTGTAGGTTCCGTGGCTCAACGCTGCAATAGCAGGATCGCAGCCCTGACCCACACTGCCTGTGTTCCATGGCAGTGCTGGCAGCTCCTGGCTCTGTGTGCCCCACTCTTCCTGCCTCAGCAGCACTTCCTCTGGTATGTCAAACAGCAGCTTCAGCGCCATGCAGACCCCAGGTGAGTGGAAGCGTGTTCTCAGTCACTCCTACACTACTGACAGGCATGATTCAAAGGGATGAGGGGGAGGAAGAGGTTGAATTAACTACATCTGCCCTCAGATCTGCTTGGGGTTGAGAGACTCACCCATTACTGTGTACACCTGAGCAGGTGGAGATCTGAGCAGACTTTAGCTTTGAACACCAGTCCATGTGTGCTTGGGTATTTGGGGGGCATTTTCATGGGATAGCCATGCTATCCCAAATTATCCCCAAATGTTTACTTCCTCTTCTGGCTTCTGCAAGAAAATATCCATGTAGGGGTGGGGATTAGCTCAACTAGGGCAGGCACATGGCCCTGGGTTAGATCCCTAGTACAGATTTTAACAAGGAAGGAAGGGAGGAATTGGGGAGGGGAGAGGGCAATAGTAGCTTTTATTTGCCTGAAGTAATTGTCATTTCCCAGGCTTGCTGCCTCTGTCAGATAACCTAGGCCTGGTCCTGGAAGCTTCTAGCCTCCATACAATCTCTTCTATGCCTAGAATGTTTTCAGCCTCTGAAAGTTGCTGCTGAATATGCTCACCCCTTCCTAGTTCTCTCTGAGTTCTGGCTAGTTGGTTCAAATCAGCTGTTTTGGCTTAAACTCCTCTCTAGGATGACTGATTCACTCTGGCTTCTCTCTCCCTGCCTCTCCTGAACTGTTCTGCTTAGCCTCATACCAACTTTGGGAATACGTTCTGATCTTCTGGCTCCTTCTCATTCCTTGGCTCATTCTGTCTTCACCTGTATCTAGTTTGTTCCCTGTCTGCAACCTGCCTCAGTAAAACTCTGCCTATAAAACTGCCTCCTCCTCTTCCTCTCTGCACTGCTCTCTCTCAAATAGCTTTTTCCTCTCTTCTCCTGAGAGTTGGGCAGATCCTATTCTGATTGACCACTTTGTCTGCCACTCAGTTAGACATCACTTTCAAACATGGGTGCTTCCTTATACCTTACCTTCACTGTTTTCAATTAAAAGTATATGCTAAGGGTGTGCCACTATTCCATCAAGAATGATTAAAGGTGTGTGCTAAGGGCTGAGCCATACCACCACTAGAAACAGAGCTTTACAGTAAATGACACAATCTCGGAGTTCCCATTGTGATCAGATATTCAGAAGGAAGGAAGGAAGGAAGGAAGGAAGGAAGGAAGGAAGGAAGGAAGGAAGGAA